AGGTTGTGTCACTAGGTAATGGTTTTTGATATTTTCAAAAGCCCATTCTCTCTCTCTCTCTCTCTCTCTCTCTCTCTCTCTCTCTCTCTCTCTCTCTCTCTCTCTCTCTCTCTCTCTCTCTCTCTCTCTCTCTCTCTCTCTCTCTCTCTCTCTCTCTCTCTCTCTCTCTCTCTCTCTCTCTCTCTCTCTCTCTCTCTCTCTCTCTCTCTCTCTCTCTCTCTCTCTCTCTCTCTCTCTCTCTCTCTCTCTTCTCTCTCTCTCTCACCTGCTACCTGTAGCTCAGGATGTTAGGCTCTTAGCTACTGCTCCAGCACCACACCGGTCTGCTTACTGACATTATGATCATGGACTAACCCTCCGAAACTGTAAGCAACCCCCCAATTAAAGGCTTGCTTTTGTAAGAGTAGCCTTGGCCATGGTGTTTCTTCATAGCAATAGAACAGTAACTAAGGTAAGCACTATGAAAAAAATGTTTTACTCACTGATCGATCTCCAGGACCGAGAATAGTACTCCATGACTATTTGTTCAGTGATTGATCATAAATATGAATGATCATGTCTTTAAGAAAAGAGTGCTTCAGAACTATCATGAGACTGCTAGATAATGTTGATCTTTATTCAAATACTCTACTAGATCATTCACCTGGCCCACTTTCCATTCCCTTCAGAAGCATGTGCCTTTATAACACCACAAATCTATATGTGGTAGCTTTTTTTGTACCCTAAACATAGCACATCACAGAAAGTTGAATTCTGTCTATTTGAATCTAGTTAAGAGACACAAAAGAAATCATCTTTAAGTGTGTTGAAGAACTGATTTCCTAGGGGAAAAAACATACATTTAAACCTATAGACATACGACATAAAATTATAAAACACCAATAAACTGCAAATACCATAGGCAACTTGATGTGTTAGGTGAAGTGGAACAAACACACACACACACACACACATTTATTTTTAAACCTGAAAATGAAAACAGTTCCTGTTATTAGGACAGATAATTGAAAATGTTCCCTGAGCAGTATCTACTTTATACTCCTGGCTCTACTCCTCTTACTAACATATACTAAATGGAATTTACTCATTTATTTATAGTTTTTATAGTTATATTTATAATTTATGAGACAGGGAACTGAACTTTATAGCTTTGTATTATCAATACCTAGCAGATAAAATACTGTTGGTAAGCTGTTGATAGATTCAGCTCAATATTAACATAAATAAAAAAAGCTGGAGAAATGGCTTAGCAGTTAAGAGCCATTGCTGCTCTTCCAGAGAACCAGGGTTTAATTCCCAAGACCCACAACCATCTGTAACTCCATTTCCAGGGTATCTGATGCCTTCTTCTGACCTCCACAGGCATCAGGCATGCAAGTGATGTTTAAATATGCATGCAGGCAAAACACTCATACAAATAGTATTAAACTAAACTTAAAAGTAACCTACAACATACAAATAGTTAAAGAAATCAAAGTGTTTCTACAAATTCAAAAGGACTTCTACAGTAATGCAAATAATAACACTTTAGGAAAATAAAATCAAGTATTTATTAATTACAAATGAGAAAAAATGCAACTTTCGAAGATTTACTCATTAGAAATGTTATCACTGTTTTATATTGAAAAGGCTATTGTATAATCAATACAAAATTTGGGACATAAAGAGAAAAGAAATACCTGCACTCTTATACTCTAAGGTTTTTGTCTTTAAAAAATGCTCAAAAATCAGCATGAGTTTTCTAAGCTGAACAACTGAAATGATTCTCACTAAATTTTCATGACATCAGTGACCAAAAATGAGTTCCTGTCATGAAATGTCGTGTGCTTCATTATAACCTCAAGTCTTCATGAACATGTTATGACTGTGGCCTAAGTAAAGGGAAACAGTAGTGTCTCTAAATCAATCGTGGGCCATGAAGCCAGACAGACTGTATGACAGATGCAATTTCTCCTGGCACCACGTGGGCGTAACTAATTGATGACAATCGTATGTCCACATTGGCATGTTTCCACAGGGGATGTGTGTGAATATGTCACCACATCTGGATGCTGGGCATGTTGGGGTCCCAAGGCACAAAGACCTGCTAAACCAGAGGCTCGGCAGCTGCTCTCAATGAGCACCGGGGGAGCCGCACAGAGTGATGAAAGGAGTCCACTACCACAAACTGTAAATACAGATTTGTTTCATTAAAAGACGAGGTAACTGCCGCAGCCACCTCTCTCATTCACGCAGACGTGTGCCTCTTCATTAAAAAAAAAAAAGCTACAGCATATGCACGCGTGCATGCGTGTGTGTGTGTGTGTGTGTGTGTGTGCTTTATCAAATTTTCATTTCTCCTATAAAAGGATAACACATACGTGAAGCAAAATCAAAGTTTACCTGATTTCCTCTAATTACAGAAAATCCACACAGAAATTAAACTGGAGAAGTCTGACAGACCACTGTCACCATGTTTGTAAGAATAGTTCCCTTCCATTTCATTCAAAATGTCATGTCCAAAGCCTATGCTGATAATAGTAAAAAATACAATGTATCACATGTAACTCCATTTTTAATATGAAAGGCAGATGAGCATAAACCAGTGTCTTTTTAATGCCTTACAACTAGAGAAATCAGACTGAGCAATAATTTTATTCTGATCCTACATTATGAGCTACCAAGAAATTTGATTATTTTTAACAAGTGTTTTCAACAATTATACAAGACTCTGTGGTGTTTTTTATGAAAAGGTTTCTGTTATATGCAGAAAATCACTTCAGTAAAAGAAAACTTAGAGCTGAGAACCCCCTTTGTATGTATAATTAAATCTCTCATAAACCTTAAACAATTACTCTCCCTATGCAGAGTGGCAGAAAGCATTGTATACAGCAATAGTTTATATATGTCATCACGGATAAAATTCTCATTTTAACCTGATAAGAAACTAAACATTCATTTGCCTGATATCTTTTCAGACTTCTTCATCTCTCTTATCCAATTCCCTAACTTCTTTCAAGTCACTCAACAGTCGTGAGGACCTTCTCTGGGAGGAGGGATACGTGCATGTGTGCATGCATGAATGCACATAGGTCAAAAGTCAAACCCAAGTATCAGAAACTTACTTCACAGGAGTGGGGCTTGCTAATTAGGCTAAGCCGGCTGGTCCATGAGTACTAGGTCCATCAGTCTCTACTTCCTCAATGCTAGGCTTACAAGCACAGGCCACCATGCCCACCTTTTTACACGGGTGTGGAAAATCAAACTCAGGTCCTCATGTTAGGGCAACAAGCACTTTGCCTACTAAACTACCTCCTCAGCCCTTCAGAGTATAACTTTTACACTCCTCTAGCACACAACTGACTTTCTAAGCTGTCTTGTTCACCTGGTTGATGAGTGATTAACAAGAGAGGTATGCCGAATTAAGGACTCCCTTCGCTGACGATAACCAAAACATGAAAGCCACCTTCCATGCTCTGTTTTATTATGATTGCCACTCACCCTCTAAGTGTTCACATGGTGATGGGAGGCGTTACTAATATATTGGACTTGTTCGCATATGGATTGCATTAAGAAAGTAGTTTCTTCTTTAGGAAAATCAGATAAGGCTCTTTAACACATCCTTTTCACTTGTAGGCTTGCAAGTGCTTTTAAATGGCAAGACAGTGGCCAAAAAAGAAAGGACAGCTTAATAACTGATGCAGAAATAAGAATGAGTAACCAAAAATGAGTTCTGTTTTTATACTTTGATGAAAAGCAAAAGTCAATAACTTTTCTCATCCTCAATTTTATTTAAGATCATCACCAAATATGAAAATCCTCCACATCACAGCAATGTTGGTCCCTCCCACCACAAAAAAAGCACCTTGACTCTTTCTGTATTTAAAGACACAACTACATATTTTAGGAAGGGACAGGGCAGGAGTGATAGAGGAAAGGGTAGGAAGGAAAAGGAAAGGAGGAAGGAAAATTCAGCTGACACTAAGACCATCTAAGTAACCTCTGACTTTATGGTCTATGCCTCTTTTATAATTATAAGTGGATAGGGCATTCGAGTATTGAGAGTGAATCTCCATCCAGTTTGGCATAGATACTCTGACAAGAACTAGGCCCCCTGGTTGGGTTTATTTCCTTATCATCTGCCCCAAGACATAAGCGTAAGGTTGACATCTTAAAGGAATTATCATTAACAGACATCAACATCCTAATAAACTAACTCCATTCCATGAATTATCTTGTGTCTGTGATTTATGGTACCAACTCAATTCAACTGCTAAGGAACCCACAAGATGAACAGCAGTGTTCCTATGAAGGAAGACCCCAAGATCTCCCACTGTCTTAGTAGACGCTAAGAAACAACGTCCCTTAACGGGGACTCAGAGGAATAGAACATAAGCACAGCACTGCAACAGCCATGGAGTTCTTCATACAAAAGCCCTGTTTTTGTGCTCCTGGAGACCCATGGGGAATGATCTAGGTGTGCACAGTCCTCCACTCCTTGGCTTCACACCCGCCCAAGAGCACCCAATGTTCCCAAGGCAAAGGGCAGAAGCAGCAGTGAGAGTACAGTTTTCAAAAAGTTCCCGGCTTCAGAAGAGCATTCCAGCAGTCCTTCCTACACACAGCCTCAAAACTATAAGCAGCCTGCAGGCTTTGTACAGGGCTCACTCTCCAAATAAACAAATAAATAAATAAAACACAACACTTCTTTGGAGGCCTGAAACAAAAAGAGCACAACCTAGTGCAACTCAGACTCTTGGCATGACCTTGTCCCAAATCAAAGCACAAAGAAACACAATTTCTAGCTATTCCCATTCATAAATATCCTGGAATTTGGGACAATAAAGTTTCTCTTTCTAAAATGAGTCTATTAGACAGAGCAGCATAACACTAAGCAGAGAGAGGTTTGGAGGCGTTTTGACAACTTCATCTCTTCACTGAGCGTTACTCATCTTAAAAGCCACTTGGAGAGGCAGCCATCCCTCTCTTCCACGCCAAATACTTACACACAATGCTCTCACCTGACTTTTTTGCCTTGCTCGGTAAGCATCTTCACCAAATCCGCGATGGGGTACTGAGCTTTGGCTGCGCAGAGGCCATAACCTGAGACAGGACATTAAGAACACAAAAGAATGTGGCTTTACTTTTTAAATCTATGGATTAAAACCTCTCTCTTGATGAAAACATATTTCTCTTCCAACATAGGCTGTTAACTAGACCAAATGAAAGCAGATTTATTATAAATAATCTTTGAAAAATAAAAACTTAAAATTCTTATTATTTCATATTTTTTATATTTTAGTATTATCCCTACTGTGCCTTTTTTTTTTTTTTGTCTAATGAGAGGCAGAAAGGGTGTGGATCCAGATGGGAAGGGAGGTGGAAAGCAACTCGGATGAGTAGGGAAAGTGAAAAATAATCAGAATATAATAAAAGAAATCAAACATAGGACAGAAAAAAAAAAACATGGTCCGATAATATCCAGGGAATCTGTTCAAGAACATACAGGCATTCATTGCATTTTTCCATAGATTTTCAACACATATTCAAAGCTACTTTTTAAAGCTTAAATAAAGTTTATTTATTCAAAAGAAAAATATTATCCTGCATTTGAAACCCAAAATCTAATGACCCCCTCCTCAATTTCCCAATAAGTCTCATGCTACAGAATATCCCTGCTACACCCCACGCACACACTAGTCTATGTCCCTGCTACATACACCCCACGCACACACTAGTCTATGTCCCTGCTACATACACCCCACGCACACACTAGTCTATGTCCCTGCTACATACACCCCACACACACACTAGTCTATGTCCCTGCTACACCCCACACACACACTAGTCTATGTCCCTGCTACATACACCCCACACACACACTAGTCTATGTCCCTGCTACATACACCCCACACACACACTAGTCTATGTCCCTGCTACATACACCCCACACACACACTAGTCTATGTCCCTGCTACACCCCACACACACACTAGTCTATGTCCCTGCTGCATACACCCCACACACACACTAGTCTATGTCCCTGCTACATACACCCCACACACACACTAGTCTATGTCCCTGCTGCACCCCACGCACACACTAGTCTATGTCCCTGCTACATACACCCCACACACACACTAGTCTATGTCCCTGCTACACCCCACACACACACTAGTCTATGTCCCTGCTACATACACCCCACACACACACTAGTCTATGTCCCTGCTGCATACACCCCATAAACACACACTAGTCTATGTCCCTGCTACATACACCCCATAAACACACACTAGTCTATGTCCCTGCTACATACACCCCACGCACACACTAGTCTATGTCCCTGCTACATACACCCCACGCACACACTAGTCTATGTCCCTGCTACATACACCCCACGCACACACTAGTCTATGTCCCTGCTGCACCACACACACACACTAGTCTATGTCCCTGCTACATACACCCCACACACACACTAGTCTATGTCCCTGCTACATACACCCCACACACACACTAGTCTATGTCCCTGCTACATACACCCCACGCACACACTAGTCTATGTCCCTGCTACATACACCCCACGCACACACTAGTCTATGTCCCTGCTGCACCCCACGCACACACTAGTCTATGTCCCTGCTACATACACCCCACGCACACACTAGTCTATGTCCCTGCTGCACCCCACACACACACTAGTCTATGTCCCTGCTGCATACACCCCATAAACACACACTAGTCTATGTCCCTGCTGCATACACCCCATAAACACACACTAGTCTATGTCCCTGCTACATACACCCCACGCACACACTAGTCTATGTCCCTGCTACATACACCCCATAAACACACACTAGTCTACGTCCCTGCTACATACACCCCACGCACACACTAGTCTATGTCCCTGCTGCATACACCCCACGCACACACTAGTCTATGTCCCTGCTACATACACCCCACACACACACTAGTCTATGTCCCTGCTGCATACACCCCACACACACACTAGTCTATGTCCCTGCTGCACCCCACACACACACTAGTCTATGTCCCTGCTGCACCACACACACACACTAGTCTATGTCCCTGCTACATAAACCCCACGCACACACTAGTCTATGTCCCTGCTACATACACCCCACACACACACTAGTCTATGTCCCTGCTACATACACCCCACACACACACTAGTCTATGTCCCTGCTGCATACACCCCATAAACACACACTAGTCTATGTCCCTGCTACATACACCCCACGCACACACTAGTCTATGTCCCTGCTACATACACCCCACGCACACACTAGTCTATGTCCCTGCTACATACACCCCACGCACACACTAGTCTATGTCCCTGCTGCACCACACACACACACTAGTCTATGTCCCTGCTACATACACCCCACACACACACTAGTCTATGTCCCTGCTACATACACCCCACGCACACACTAGTCTATGTCCCTGCTACATACACCCCACGCACACACTAGTCTATGTCCCTGCTACATACACCCCACGCACACACTAGTCTATGTCCCTGCTGCACCCCACGCACACACTAGTCTATGTCCCTGCTACATACACCCCACACACACACTAGTCTATGTCCCTGCTGCACCCCACACACACACTAGTCTATGTCCCTGCTGCATACACCCCATAAACACACACTAGTCTATGTCCCTGCTACATACACCCCACGCACACACTAGTCTATGTCCCTGCTACATACACCCCATAAACACACACTAGTCTATGTCCCTGCTACATACACCCCACGCACACACTAGTCTATGTCCCTGCTGCATACACCCCACGCACACACTAGTCTATGTCCCTGCTACATACACCCCACACACACACTAGTCTATGTCCCTGCTGCATACACCCCACACACACACTAGTCTATGTCCCTGCTGCACCCCACACACACACTAGTCTATGTCCCTGCTGCACCACACACACACACTAGTCTATGTCCCTGCTACATACACCCCATAAACACACACTAGTCTATGTCCCTGCTACATACACCCCCCACACACACTAGTCTATGTCCCTGCTACATACACCTCACGCACACACTAGTCTATGTCCCTGCTACATACACCCCACGCACACACTAGTCTATGTCCCTGCTGCACCCCATAAACACACACTAGTCTATGTCCCTGCTACATACACCCCACGCACACACTAGTCTATGTCCCTGCTACATACACCCCACACACACACTAGTCTATGTCCCTGCTACATACACCCCACACACACACTAGTCTATGTCCCTGCTACATACACCCCACACACACACTAGTCTTATGTCCCTGCTACATACACCCCACGCACACACTAGTCTATGTCCCTGCTACATACACCCCACACACACACTAGTCTATGTCCCTGCTACATACACCCCACACACACACTAGTCTATGTCCCTGCTGCACCCCACACACACACTAGTCTATGTCCCTGCTACATAAACCCCACGCACACACTAGTCTATGTCCCTGCTACATACACCCCACACACACACTAGTCTATGTCCGTGCTACATACACCCCACGCACACACTAGTCTATGTCCCTGCTACATACACCCCACGCACACACTAGTCTATGTCCCTGCTACATACACCCCACGCACACACTAGTCTATGTCCCTGCTACATACACCCCACGCACACACTAGTCTATGTCCCTGCTACGTACACCCCACGCACACACTAGTCTATGTCCCTGCTGCACCCCACACACACACTAGTCTATGTCCCTGCTACATAAACCCCACGCACACACTAGTCTATGTCCCTGCTACATACACCCCACACACACACTAGTCTATGTCCCTGCTACATACACCCCACGCACACACTAGTCTATGTCCCTGCTGCATACACCCCACGCACACACTAGTCTATGTCCCTGCTACATACACCCCACACACACACTAGTCTATGTCCCTGCTGCATACACCCCACACACACACTAGTCTATGTCCCTGCTGCACCCCACACACACACTAGTCTATGTCCCTGCTGCACCACACACACACACTAGTCTATGTCCCTGCTACATACACCCCATAAACACACACTAGTCTATGTCCCTGCTACATACACCCCCCACACACACTAGTCTATGTCCCTGCTACATACACCTCACGCACACACTAGTCTATGTCCCTGCTACATACACCCCACGCACACACTAGTCTATGTCCCTGCTGCACCCCATAAACACACACTAGTCTATGTCCCTGCTACATACACCCCACGCACACACTAGTCTATGTCCCTGCTACATACACCCCACACACACACTAGTCTATGTCCCTGCTACATACACCCCACACACACACTAGTCTATGTCCCTGCTACATACACCCCACACACACACTAGTCTTATGTCCCTGCTACATACACCCCACGCACACACTAGTCTATGTCCCTGCTACATACACCCCACACACACACTAGTCTATGTCCCTGCTACATACACCCCACACACACACTAGTCTATGTCCCTGCTGCACCCCACACACACACTAGTCTATGTCCCTGCTACATAAACCCCACGCACACACTAGTCTATGTCCCTGCTACATACACCCCACACACACACTAGTCTATGTCCGTGCTACATACACCCCACGCACACACTAGTCTATGTCCCTGCTACATACACCCCACGCACACACTAGTCTATGTCCCTGCTACATACACCCCACGCACACACTAGTCTATGTCCCTGCTACATACACCCCACGCACACACTAGTCTATGTCCCTGCTACGTACACCCCACGCACACACTAGTCTATGTCCCTGCTGCACCCCATAAACACACACTAGTCTATGTCCCTGCTGCACCACACACACACACTAGTCTATGTCCCTGCTACATACACCCCACGCACACACTAGTCTATGTCCCTGCTGCACCCCATAAACACACACTAGTCTATGTCCCCGCTGCACTCTACACACATGCTAGTCTATGCCCACTCTCATGTGTTTTTAAACTCTGAATGTGTCTTTGATGACACTGTAGTCCTGCGGATTCTTCCTGGCTTTGCTACTATTCTTCCTCTAATACCTTGTATAGTTTTTCTTCTGTTCTCCTCCTTAAATGGCCTAGTCTTCCCTCAAGGCTTCCAATTTGTCTGTTACCTCTCCTTAAATCATAGCTAACCCAAGGATTTCAGCAATCGTTCCGGGTCCTGCTGGCTCAACTTGCCATTTGAGCTCCAGCATGCCCACCGTCCACACTTCATGTCTTCAAAGGAAGAAGAAGAACTGAAAACCCTTCTCCTCCAACTCTACTCCCATATTCAAATATATAACAAATAGTTCTTCCTACTTGAGGGTTGCTTAAGTATAACCAACAATGTCAGTCATGTCCCTTCTCCATTAACTCTAAGACTATGTCCATATTACCTGTAGAGTGACTCATCATATCTGTTCATACTTTCCTAGCCCTTCTTTCCAATTGCCAACTCTTTACTCTAAATATCACTTCTGCTTTCTCCTACCCACAGCACCATCCATCCTCTAAGGCTCAAAACAAATCCTAATTTCCCTTCAACCCTTCTTGGGTTCCTCATGAGAAAAAAGAAATTCTATGTGGTCCAGTTTAGCCACTGTCATAACACACTTGACATTATTTATCTCCCTATCTGACTTCTCAACTCGGACAGACAGTGCCTGGAGGAAAGAGACTATGATAAATATATACATACATACATATATATTCATACATATATATATTCATACCTTTACACACAAGCATAGCTTTTTAATAGGCCACACGCTCGTCATTTGGCTAGAACAATTCCCTATGCAGGCATGTCCCATACATTACAGCGTTTCACACACTAACTGGCAGCTCAGTAACAACCAAAACCCACCATTCAGATGTCTTAAAAAAGGAATACATTAAGTTCACGTTGAAATATCACATTTGCCTTACATTTCTTAATCTTATCATAGTACATTCTCAACCAGTAAATTGCCCACATGTCAAGTCAGTAGTCTTTCTTCATGGAAATCTCCTATAATGGCATGATAGAGTTAAAATCTAATGTGATGCTCTGTGACAAACATGACAAACTGGGCTAAGTCTTACACGTTGAAAACTGGGACCAAGAGACATTAAATGGCTTGGTCTGCACCGTACAGACTGCTAGAGGCAAAACTGAGTACAAAGGTGGCGTACTGGCACTCCTATGACAAGTTCTTTCCAGTCTGTCACTTCACCCACTCAGCCAGGACTACAGCTGCAAGATGAGCTCTTTCTCCTAAGTCACACTGGCTACTGTGATCAGAAACCACTTATTAAGCCAGCAAAATCCCTAACAACAATCTAAACATTTGCCCATGCCCACAGATAACTGCAGTTCTCACCTCTTCACTTTGCAACAGAAGGAGACCGTTACAGAAAACCACAAAGATTCTTGATGTACTTTTAAACAAATGGCTTTTGAAAAGAGACTAAACTTACTGAGTCTAATGAATGAGTCCCATGCTTCCACATGCTATACCTAATGTAATCTTCTAGAGCCTAAAATTCACCATAAACAAGACTCACCAATAAAATCACATGTGTCCAGAGCTCAAAAGGATGGGTAGAACATGCTACATCAATTGACAGAATATTTATGTTACTCCAAAATATTAACCTAAATGGAGAGTTTTCAATATTCTCACTCAGTGACCATTCAGTTGTTACTGTTTTAATTGTGTTTTCAAAAATAAGGTTACTATGGCTAGACAGGTCATAGGCCCTAGAGGAAAATCTACTCCTATTACGCTGCTAAATGGACATGGTATTAAACTGACTCCTAAAGACTTGATTTTATTCCCATAGCATCTCTCATCTGTGAACCTTCTAATTGCAACGTGAATAGCACAATGTCTCACTTCTGCTCAAGGTGCAGAGTAAGAGACTGAAGAGTGCTCAGTGAAATGGAGCTTATTTACTGCGGCCACTCTGCCCAAGGCTCCTGGGATCATTGCAGAAGGGACAGAACGCCTTGGTTAGAAGTGACCATGAGGAGACATTATCCACTGGGCACAGCAGGGCAGCTGCACATGCAAATTCACAGTGGTTGTCATAGCTTGCTCTAAGCCTATGCAAATCCAATCCAGACCAAATCCCAACCTGGAGATGGCAGCTGAGCACAAAGTTCCACTCATAGCAATGGGGTTACTAGCAACTGTTAGCTGCTAAAGACAGGGCTCCTGGTGAGTCGGTCAAGTTCCACGAGAGGATCACACATCCACTAGTACTTGGGTAACACAAACTGGTCTTGATGAGGTAATAAAACACACACACACACACACACACACACAAAGTTGAGTGAGTAGAGAAGAAAGAAGGGTCTGGGGATGGCTGGGGATGAAAGGGCTCAAAACCTAGGTGAAATTCTCAAAGAACTAATAGCAATCTTGAATGAGGAAGTTTCGATTTACCATTTTCCTATTATTCAATGTAATCAATTAGAACAGCCATTATAGCTTGTTTTGTGGTGTAGGTTTTACTTTTATTTTACCTGGAGTAATAACAATGCTGTTGGCTTCCCGGATCATGTCAACTGCATTGTCAAGGTTGATTTCTGTATGTGTACCAGAGATTTCCATCGGTTTCCCACCAGCTGTTGAAGTTGTACCATAGCCTCCGAGAATCACATTAGCCAGGGAGCGATTCATTGCCTAAAGAGCAAAATCATCACCTATGAGAGTTCAACCCATGGAATTATTTGAGAAAAGAAGGGTATGTACATGAAACTCAAATCATTTTGAAGGTATTTATTTAACTATTTAAAGAATTTTAGCCAGGCTTCTAAAATTAGTTCAAAATTTAATTAACAGAGACATGTAAGAACCATACCAATTTTCTAAACGGGTCAACTGCACACTAATATGTTTTCAGCAAAAAAATTAAACAACTATTTTAATGCAAAGTATAAAAATTAATGAAAAATTCAGATGTACTATTATCATCTAGATATTGAATAAGCAACTTCTCTGTCCACATTTAAATGTACTTCACTAGAGTGAAAGAGAACTAGAGACATTTATTTGCAAGAAGAAAATGTTCACAAAATAATCTTATCTCTCTCTCCAGTAGATTCTGCTACTGCATGCATGCCATCAGAAGACAACTAGAAGGAATTCAAATGATAATTGCACATTTCATTGGGAACTCCATAGTCCTTCGCATTCAAACAAAGTATGGGTAGGGACACTCTTACTTTCCAAATCTATTACAGCTCCATGAAATCATATGTCTGATTCTCCTAGAGGCAGTTGGATTCATCATTCTAAATGCTTCTAAAGGTTCCACCTACACGGAGGTGGATGAACAGGTGCTTTATTCTTTCTGTCTGGGCCCACCCTTTCACTAGTGAGATAATCTCAGGGGAAAATTCAGAGAAAGGCATCTCTCGTTCCTGATGTGCTCACATGTAATCATCCAAGAATGGTCCTTATATATGCCCCAATTACACCATGAGACAATAAGTGTTCCAGTTTTGTGATGAACAGCTGGAGGCGAGCTGGTAAAAGGAGAGAAACTAAATGTTTTGAGGAACAAAACACATTGTAAGAATTCAAATGACTTCCTGTTTTAGTTAAGGTTTCCCTTGCTGTGATAAAACTCCATGACCAAAAGCAAGTTGGGGAAGAAAGGGTTTATCTCACTTACATTTCCACATCAAAGTCCATCACTGAGGGACTTCAGGATAGGAACTCAGGGCAACAGCTGATGCAGAGGCCATGGAGGACCTGATGCAGAGGTCATGCAGGAGCTGCTTACTGGCTTGCTCCTCATGGCTTGCTCAGTCTGCTCCCTTATGGCACCCAGGACCAGCCCAGGGGTGGCACTGCCCATAGTAAACTGGACCCTCCCACATCGATCATCAACCAGGAAAATGCACCTCAGGCTTGCCCACTGACCAGGTCTGGTGGGGGCATCTTCTCAACTGAGATTCCTTCTTCCAAAATGACTCTTGCTTATATCAAGTTAACATGAAACTATCCAGCACATACACTATCCATGAATCAATGTGTTTTACATGATGACCATTTCATGGGGAACAAAAAAATTCAAAACCATTTAAAACCTACTTCAATGGTTGTAGTCCATCCACTATATTACTTAAAAGTTTACAGTTATTAATCTATTACTTTTTCAAAGACAGCACTCTATTTAAAAAGTTAAAAAACATACAAAGTGTTTAGAAATCTTCGCTAATACCACATCATAAAAATACAGGGCCATCCATACAACAATAAGTAGGCCAGTGACAACCTTACAGAGACATTTACACAGCTGGGGAGGTCTAGCAATAAGAGGGGAGAAGGAATGTGGAAAATAGCCACATTTTAATAAATAACATAAATTTCAAAGATGATGGATAAGGGGATAAGAGAAAGTTTGATGTTTTGAATTAACATCCTAATCCCAGCCTGGCAGGAAGTTTGTAAACTCCTGAATAAAAACTGAAACAGTCACAACTGGGACTCCCCAAATATTCAATTTTTAATGTCTATAAATCTTTTCCAGTTTTGATTGTAAGATTCAGAGATTCAATTATCAAAAATAAGTTATACTAAACTCTCATCATTAAAAATTAAAATTTTAAAAACCTATTTTGGGGGCTGTAGAGGTTGCTCTGTGGTTAAGAGTGATTGCTGAGGAAGCATCAGACGGGAGTTAGATCCCCACCCCATCCCAAAAGTTAGGAGGGTCCCACACAACAGCAGCAATCAGTGCACTAAGAAGCAGCCCTGAGGTGGGTTGCTAGCCTAGGCAAAACCATGAGCTCCAGCCTCAGCATGAGACCCCACCTCAAAGGATCAAGGCAGAGAATGAGAAAGGAAGACATTCAGTGCCCTCTCTGGCCTCCATACATACAGGCCCAACACGCACATGTGCAAAGGCCATACGTGCATATGCTTCACAGGTGCACACACACAAAAAGACTATTTAGACATTGAGGCTGCTGTTACAGCAAACCTTTTTGTCTGATGGACAAAGATCCTCATCTCTTTACGATAGCACCAACAGATCACAGAAGCACATGACGCAGACAGACTTGTGAAGACAGGAGCCTATCTCTCTAGCTTGGCATGAGAAGAAGCATTATTCCTCCTATGAAGCGGAATGGGAGAGGAGGAAGGAATCTCCGAGGACATTTAATTAAAGTGTGCTCACTTGGAATGGAACTTAGGGAGAAAAAATAGTGGCTTAGCCATCAAGGTCTACTCATTAAACACATAAGCAAAATTATATGACAATTATGAGGATTCCATGTGGCCTCTTTAAAATTGCATTACTTTTCATCTCTTAATTTACCATTGCAACATCGTGTTCACCACAAATGTTTAGGGTCTACAGCTTTGTGCCTCTTTTTTTTCCCCCTTATTTTATTTGCTTCCTCATGTGATTCATGAGACTATCCTGTAGCCACTTATTCACAGACTGAGTGGTTCTCAGATTCCAAGACCAAAAAAATAAAATTGTCACACTGTCCAAGGCTGTTCTTTTTGAGCTAATAAGTTCTATAATGCAAGTTGTGTCCTACATTAAAGAGATTATTAACTCACATAATTCTAGTTACACTGAAAGAAATTAGTCTGAAGACAAAAGAAAGGTCATAAAATAACCAAAACTGAAGCAGTAGTATACATGCCATGTAGTACTGCCTTTTGTTTCAATGCTCTCTCCGTTAATCAATCACAAAGAAAAAAACAAAATACAATTCTATTTGGCGTAACTTTTGACTTGTTCTAATTCCACTTGAAAAGAAAGAGGGATTTTTGGGGTTTTTTTTTTTTGGTTTTGTTTTGTTTTGTTTTTTGGTCTGAAAAACAAATGCTTTTCCTGTTTGCTAAGAGCTCCATCTCCCAGGTGATATTACAAGCAGAAGGACTGAAGAATCATAAAGAGATTGGTTATTATACTGTGGTATAAAGCAAACAATGGATATGTGTTTGCTGTTTGGACAATGTCAACTTTTTTTAAGTTTTTATTATATGACTTGTTGTGTAAGCACACAGCACTGGGCTCAGAAGGTACCCAAAGGAATTCATTGTCAGAAGAAAAAATGTGATTTTAGAGATTGTTGGTTAGTCACTTGGAGAGCATTCCACTGCCTCCCACATAATAAAACCACCCTACTTTGGTTTGGACTGCCATGCTTGCTTCAATAAACACTACAGAAGGCCAGTGTGCAGGCACCTTACGGACTCTAACAGCATCTGCTACTATTACCTACCCACAGATGACTCCAAAATAATAAAGAAACTAACAAAACAGCCCTTTAATGTCCTTTAATGAACATTCAAGGTTCATTTACCAAGCAGTGTGTTCATTGACTATTCCAAGTACTAGATCAGGCTTTGTAGGCACACTGATGAGTATATTAAAATACTTAGTCTACAAAATGAGACATTTCCTGCCTCCAAAGCTACTGTAGGGATTAAGCAGAGTCAGCATTTCATCATTTTTTATTCTAAACTACCTTGAGCAATATATTAAACACAAATCATAAAAAAAACAGTTTCTTATACTAAACCAACCTGCTACAAATCAGTGACAGTGGAAGAAAATGTCAACTACAAGAGATATTTGGGATGAGTTAAAAAGCATCTACTTTTAATGCCTTAAAACGTGGCAGGCTTGTTTTTAATCTTTTTATTGGTTTCTCACTGTTTTGTAATTGTGTGTGGGACTGTGGGGAGCAATGGAAGACGCACAATGCCCATCACCAATAAGAGCTTAAGTGTGAAGATCTGAGATCCTTTCATCAGCATCAAAAGTCAACAAAAAGACCCCACACCCTCAGACCACGTCCTTGTACTAGTAAAAACTTACAGAAGGAGATAAAGATGCTTGGAGGAAAGCTGCAACGAGACCAAGTTCAAAACATTTCACACTGCGAGTCTGGATATAGAATGATAGAGCTGCATTTATACTAATATGTAGGCATTAAAAATATATGAGTCAGGAAATTAAACACCAGGGGCTGGAGAGATGGCTCAGAGGTTGAGAGCACTGCCTGCTCTTCCAGAGGTCCTTAGTTTAATTCCCAGCCAACTTCACTTGTGGCTCACAACCATCTATAATGAGATCTGGCGCCCTCTTCTGGCATGTAGACTTACATGATGGCAGAAGACTATGAATAATAAATAAATCTTTTTTAAAAAAGAAATTTAATATTAGAATAGCATAATACATTAAAACAGAATGGACATGAACACAATGATCTGGAATTAGAATATCAAATGTTAACGGTTAAATGATGAGTAGGAGTTATGTCTTTTTATTTTCCCTTAACCTTTTCTATTCAACCGAATTCCTTATATCTTGTACATTTATAACTTCCTTTCTGAAATAAGTTCTTCATAGGTATAAGCAGGCCTTGAAGTCTCTATGCAATCCCAGCTGCCCTCAAAAAGCAATGATCTTCCTACTTCAACTTCCCAAGTGCTGAGATTATAAGTGTGTGCTGCTATGCTTAGCTCATAGTAGGCTTTTTATTTTTGTTTGTTTGTTTTTAAACTGCGTGGTCTTGGCTGGCTTAGCACTCACTATATAGACCACATTAGCCAAAACTCTCATAGATCTGCCTGCCTCTGCCTCCCATGTGCTGAGATCAACGGCACACACTACTGCATCTGGCTTTGGAGTAGTCTTTTTAATTAAGGCTTTAGCTGTCCTTAAATCCAAATAAATAAAAACATAATATTACAGACTACTAATCTTATATCATATATTTATGATCCCAGACAACTATAAGGATATATTAGTATAAGAATTCAAAACATCAAACTTTCTCTTATCCCCTTATCCATCATCTTTGAAATTTATGTTATTTATTAAAATGTGGCTATTTTCCACATTCCTTCTCCCCTCTTTCTTATTGCTAGACCTCCCCAGCTGTGTAAATGTCTCTGTAAGGTTGTCACTGGCCTACTTATTGTTGTATGGATGGCCCTGTATTTTTATGATGTGGTATTAGTGAAGATTTCTAAACACTTTGTATGTTTTTTAACTTTTTAAATAAAGTGCTGTCTTTGAAAAAGTAATAGATTAATAACTGTAAACTTTTAAGTAATATAGTGGATGGACTACAACCATTGAAGTAGGTTTTAAATGGTTTTGAATTTTTTGTTCCCCATGAAATGGTCATCATGTAAAACGCATTGATTCATGGATAGTGTATGTGCTGGATAGTTTTATGTTAACTTGATATAAGCAAGAGTCATTTTGGAAGAAGGAATCTCAGTTGAGAAGATGCCCCCACCAGACCTGGTCAGTGGGCAAGCCTGAGGTGCATTTTCCTGGTTGATGATCGATGTGGGAGGGTCCAGTTTACTATGGGCAGTGCCTCCCCTGGGCTGGTCCTGGGTGCCATAAGGGAGCAGACTGAGCAAGCCATGAGGAGCAAGCCAGTAAGCAGCTCCTGTATGACCTCTGCATCAGGTCCTCCATGGCCTCTGCATCAGCTGTTGCCCTGAGTTCCTATCCTGAAGTCCCTCAGTGATGGACTTTGATGTGGAAATGTAAGTGAGATAAACCCTTTCTTCCCCAACTTGCTTTTGGTCATGGAGTTTTATCACAGCAAGGGAAACCTTAACTAAAACAGGAAGTCATTTGAATTCTTACAATGTGTTTTGTTCCTCAAAACATTTAGTTTCTCTCCTTTTACCAGCTCGCCTCCAGCTGTTCATCACAAAACTGGAACACTTATTGTCCCGTGGTGTAATTGGGGCAGTGGAAACAGAAAAAAGACAAAGACTAGGAAAACATCTAAACTGTGAAAGGACAGAACAAAGGGGGGAAAACGAGATCATTTTACAGGAACACACAGACGCGAGTGTGTGTGACCGGCACCTTTTCCTGGGTAATTCATTCTAGTTACTGTAGAAGTCACTGTGCTGCTGTGGCCATAATAACAAAGAGAGGAGAAGACAAGAGGTAAGGGGCACAGAACAGGAACTGGGAACAAAAATTGCTGCAATAATAGTAATAATCTAAAGAGAACCATTAAAGAATAAAGGGTAGAAATGGGAAAGGCGTTCGGGATGCCCTCTCAGGAGCCACATACCAATCCTTCCCCCAGCCTCCTGCATTGATAAGCCACTAGCATTGATAGAATTCAAATCTTATGCCAGGTGTGGTGGTACATGCCTATAATTCCAGCATTCAGGAGGCTGACGCAGGTGGATACCTACTTTGAGGCCAGCCTTGGCTACCCTGTGATATTCTGTCTAAAATAAGCAAGCAAAAAAAGATAAGATGCTCAAATCTTGCAATTTGATTTTAAAATTCATTTTTCCTTTAAGTAATTGTAAAAGCCTGCTGCCCCCTGCTGGTCATTCAGATTCTCCCAATGAAACAAAAATAGTTTAGAAATTCACTTTTGAAGGAAACTCTAGAACTAAATACAACTTTTCCTTTAAAGGTAGCTGTAACTTAGACACCAGAGAGTCTGGAGGTTTTCAACAGGAAAGAAAATTTCCCAATTCCAAATCTTCCAGACTACTTGGAAACTACTACAACTAGCATAATAATCAGGCTGTTTTAAACGTGGCCTGTCGAGCCCTGTGTTTTACAAGATGAGCAAAAGCACAAAAATACTTTCTTTTACAAAAAGGTTACTTCAGTACTTTAATTAGTGTGATTATCTCTCAGGACAAGAAAATGCCGAGATGTTCAAATGAAGGCTTTGTGTAACTGGAGGTAACCAAAGAAGCAAGGTGAGTGTAGCTCTCATCCCTTACCCAGAAAGCTTTTAGGTTATTATGGAGATCCACAACTGATCAAAATACAGAGAACAAGTGACCACAGGGTGCCCAGCCCCAAACGATGCATCTGCAATGCAGACTGTACACCTAAGCCACAGGGACAACAGAGAAGAGGGAAGTAGAAACTTTGTAAGAACCAGAGGGTGGTGTCTGCAGCTAGACAGTCCCCCAGACATGACAAGGAGAATGCGCCCTTGAAATCTCAGCAATATGGTTGCCTGAAGAAGACCAGCATAGTGACAAGGCCAGTTGAGTGCCAACATATATGGGGGAAGTTCCTCAAGATCTCAGCCCTAGATGAAGACCTACAGGAGCTCGACAGCTACTGAGGAATCCATGTCCTCCAAGGACTTCCAAGTGGTCATCCCTGGACATATGTACATATAAGCAACACTAAATGGACTCAGTATGTTGTCTATACACATGTATCCATATATTACAAAGAAAAGATCTTGAATTGAGGGGGTAGGCATGGGAGAAGTCAGAGAGGGGAAGGAAGGGAGAATGACATGTATAAAGCTCTCAAAATATTAATTTCTTTAAAACTAAGTGGCTGGAGCGATGGCTCCGCAGTTAAAAGCACTGGTTGCTCTTCCAGAAGTATACAGGTTTGAGTCCGTGCACCCTCATGGTGGCTTACAACTATGTCACTCCAATTCCAGCCCTCTTCTGGCCTCTGCAGTTACCAGGCATGAAAGTGGTACACAGACATACATGCAGACAAAACACCCATAACACTTGAGTAATCCTTTTAATTAAAATTTAGTTAAGCACAGAGGTGTATAATTGTCCTAAATATATTATTAAGGTGTCATACATTAAGGTTATCTACAAACCTGAGATGTCTTTGTAAACCTTGGAGTAGGTTTTTTAAGAGACATTTTAATGATTTATTTATTTTTATTTTATGTGGTTGGTATTTTGCCTGCATGTATAACTGTGTGAGAGTGTCAGATCCCCTAGATTTGGAGTTACAGTCAATTGTAAGCTGCAAGGGAGGTGCTGGGAACTGAAGCCAGGAAGTGACCTTTTTTAATTCAAATGTTCAGAGTTATATCTTACATGGTCTTAGTAAAGATATAGACATTGAAAAAATGTTTGGTTCTTTTTTTAAGCCTGTTTGCTATAAAGCAATGCAAGTGGGCTTCAACAATAACCCAAAATGATTCTGTAGAGAATAACAACAATTTAAGCAAGTTTTCTAGTCAAATTTACAGTCATTTGCAAGCTACCATCTGCCATCAAGAAGAGAAATAATTAGGAACAAAGAGGAAGGTGCAAGTATTTACATTGCTACTGTTCTGTTCTGGGTTCTTCTTTAAAAAAGAAAAAAGTCACATTGCGCATAAACCTTCACGGCAGGCATTCTCATAGGTAACCAGGAGGAGGTTGGTCTGAACAAGTTGTCGGGAAATGAACAATAAGAAAAAGCCTCTAACAGGAAATGCATTTTTTCTAAGAACTGTATCTTCCAAATGAAAATGGATGAATGCTGGAGGGAATCATGAAGTCCCACCCAGCTGAGGAACTACCGTTAACTGATGGCCTCTCAGGGCCTCAGGGAGGGAGGGAGATATAGTCTCAGAGAGTCTACCAATACTCTGGCAGATTGTCCTACACTATGCACAGTAAATGGACTTAGTGACAAAAAAAGACAAAACAAAACAAAACAACAAAAACCAGCATGAAATTGGGAAGGTATAGTGGTTGGGGATGAGGGGGAAATGGGAGAGGAGAGGAAAAGGGAGGTGAATTATGCATTCCTGTAATCCTAGCACTTGGGAGACTGAGGCAGGAGGATCAAGAGTTCCAATCCCAAACTCAAGGCCAGCCAGGGCTATGTAGCAAGAACCTGTCTCACAATACAGGGTTGGGAAAAAAATATCTGAATTGAAAAATTCAATATGGTCAAACATGTGAATACACAGTACTATACAAACAAAAAGAATGGTAAAAATAACTAAACTAAATCTTATGTGTTACCCTCAAGATGAAGAAAGACATTCGAAGAGTTTTACTTTTAAGTTTTCCTAATTCTTTATAGTTGAGGATCTTTAAAACAGTCTCAGATATTTGCTCTGGAAATCCTCATATTTCTGCTGAAAATAATTAAAACCAATAGATTTACTTTTACTACAAATAGAAGAAAGAACAAGCACATTCATGTCTCCAGGACATCATTTTTGTTCTCTTTCGCTTGTGTTTCTTACCACACACATGATGTATGACAAGATCGCACCGGAGGAGCCAATAAGCGCACCCACAATGGTCAGCAGGTTGTTGTTTAGCAGGAAGCCCTCAGCACACAAGGCCCAGCCTGAGTAGCTGTTCAGCACAGTGATGACAACAGGCATGTCAGCACCCCCAATAGCAGCTGTCAAAGTCACACCCTAGTGAGAAAACCAAAGGAGAACCCCAAGTGAACATATACAATCAAACCTCTAACACTCCACATCTTGGTTCTTAATCATTCCAGTTTTCTAATTAGTATATTTCCATAGAAGTTCTACTTCTGGTGATGACCAAGTCTCCCATATGACCAACTCAATCACTAACACAGCAACTTGGGACATTTAGTCACCACCACCCCCAAAATCCCCTGAATAAAAGTAGTGATAAAAATTGGCAGAAACTGGAAAGGATCTCCACTAGGAAAAATTAAATGATACCAAGTGAATGTCCTAGCTCTTGATGGCTTTAGACTGAAGTCGGGCCCCTGCTGGTATCAAGTGGAGGAGATAAAACTAAGGCCATCAGACCACAGTCTTACTTGTTTGACGATCCAGAGGACATAGTTTTGATGACAAAGACAGCTGGAAAGTGAAAAAGAAAATCCTACAAAGGAGCGAGCTAGAATGATTTGAAGGTGCCCCAAATGCTGTGTGCAAACACTACCCAAATCTCTGACTGAGAGCACTGAATCCTAACCACTAGACCACCTTTGTCTATCGTGAAAATAAAAAATTAAAAAAAATCTCTAGCTGATACTTAAAACTCTGGTTTAGACTGCAGGCAATCTGTTAAGGATGAAATAGCAACAGGTTTCAGCTGCTGTCCTGCAAGAGACAGAATCTGAAACTTTAGTCTAACCAAGTGAGCTGCCAAAAGTCAAAAATAATATTTAAAAAATGTAAAATAAATTGTGAATGGTTACCAATACTCTAGATGAATACAACAGAATCCAATGTGTCTAAAAAACATCATTGACAACATCCATGATGCAATTCAAAGTTATTAAATATAAGAAAGTAAAGAAGATGGAGAGGGCAGATTTTTAATATTCATTCCATATACGCCTCCATTTTGTGTTTTGTTATCTATGAGAATATATAAGCCAGAAGCAATTTAAAATATCATTTGCATTATAGACACATTTTCATACTGGGAATAAATTCCTTTCAAAAATAACAATTCTTTAAAATTTAAATTTCTATATTATAGGTTTGATTTTTGAAAACTTCTGATTAGATTAAAATACAAAAATTATTTTATTTAAAATAAAACAAAAAAGTCATCACCAGATAAGACAGAAGAAAACTGGATTGTAAATCACACCAAGGCAGAATTTCAAGCCTTTTCCAGTGTCCTAAAGTGCCTGTACTGACCCATGACCTAACCTTATGACCACTCATAAGTCCCATTCATATACTACAGATCTTGTGTTTCTGAATCAGAGAGTCAGTATTTGACAAGAAATCACTAGATGGCTAACTCTGTTCAAGTTCAAATGTAAAGGCTATCTACAAAATATAAGCCAGTCTAGAAGACCGTGAAGAAGCAAAAGTAAATAGGAGAATTCCATGTAATCACATCTTCTATTAATAAAATGCCCAACTGTTACCACAGACACAGAGTCTCTGTTTATATCAATATATTATATACAAAATCAGACAGGGGAGGAAGGGAAAAGTCACAAAAGGAAGAACTCTCTGAGTGAATACACTGGGTTTATTAACTGTAACTCATTTTATGTAATTATTGGACTCCATATCATATTTTCTGTGGAATGTGAGAGCAACTTACAAGCTGTGGCCGCCTTACACATATTATACAAACTTGTTATATAGTAGGTGCCTACTGAACAGAGTTTAAGTGCTTGGCTTTTAAAATTCTTTCTCACCAGCATGTTGGTACAGTGAGAACTCCAAGTACTAAAGCTATCAGATGTAACAACTCTTAAATAGTCAAAAAATAGAATTTCTCATACTTCTTAAACTTTCTATATTCTAAAGTGACGAGCCTGTAGCTGTTAGACATTTTTATTCCCTCGGGGATCTTGAAGAGACAAAAACACAATCAGATTGTAGTCTAACAATATATCCCCAGCTCTTCCCGAAGTATGTGTTTCTCCATCTCCAGCAACTTACCATGACAGTAGAGAGGGCAGCCACAGAGCCCAGACAGGTAATGCCAGTGGTAAAGCTGGGGTCGATCATAAATGGGATGGTTCCACCCACACTAGCAGCCAGCAGGCCTGCGTTGAGCAAGTGCCTTCCAGGGAGCAGCAGAGGGGCTGATTTCAGAATACCTGGGCCAAAGCAGATGTTACTCAGAACCCAGAGTTGTCACTTAATCCTCTTAATAGCAGAATAATAATGTGGTACTTCAGACATCACTTTGCAGCACCAGATATGGAAACATAAAGGCATGTTAAAAGTTCTACATCACACATCAGCAGAGCAGAGACGAGAAAATATGGTTCAACTTAACTGTTCTTTTCCCTACTTTTTGACCACATAATTTCTTTACTCTGTCATGGAATCTTAAAAACCGACTTTTTTTTCCTGTATGACCAACACAGAAGTTGTTAAGTGTGGTTTTGTTTATTTACAACCTCAATACAGAGTCCTGGAACATTAGCATTCCCAGTGCTATCAACTGAGCCCAAGGGAGAAGAACCCGTTAGCTATTTCTAAAGAAAAAGCCCGAGACAAGAATGGGTGAGGCTTGAAGTTCATTTGTGACTTTTTTTTTCATTTAATAACTTGATTGTTCAGAGGCAAAACCATATTTCTACATCGCACACAACTTTCTCTAGGGACTTGTTTTGTGACCACACTGCACAGAGGCTCTCTGGATTTTTCTTTCTGCTTCCATATCCATGATTCAACATTGCAGGAATAAAATTTGCCAAGGCAGAATGCTCAAAACATGTGCTGTTTTTCAGAATGAGTTCTGTTAACCAAACTTAGTGGATAATAAGCATCTCTCTATTCTAGGAAACACAAGTTCATTTCTGCAGACAATACATAGACATCTCCAAGCAAGAGCTATGGAGGTGCTATTTTGGTCATATGTATTATCAAATATTCCTTAGTGTCTTAAAAATTTCTGTGTACTAATTGCTACTATTAGCTGTCTGCAGAAAAAATGTAACAAAGCTTAAAACCTCTAAGAATTAAAACGAATTATCTTTTTACAGGGAAAATCTTTTACATGTGCCTAATAAAACCCCTTCTCTACTGTGAAGGAGTTTTCTAAAATTGAAGCAAACCCATGGATACCCTGAATAATAAATATTTAGCACTATGTTATATCAAATCACTTACCCTGTAATTTTCCATAGGCAATAAGAGACCCACTAAAGGTTATTCCACCAATGTAAGTGCCAAGGTAGGCCACGATCTTGGTGAAATTTGATGCTGCGTCCATTGCAAAATGTGGGTATTCTACAATGTACTCAGCAATGCAAGTGAGCACTGCTGCCAAACCCACTAAACTGTGGAAGGCAGCAACCAGCTGAGGTAAGTCAGAGATCTGGATGCGCTTCGCAATCGCCAAGCCTGTTGGGAAACCAAGGCCAGAGAGACGTAAATGTGACAGGCCTTTGAGAGCAGGGTTTGCATCATTGTCACACATGAAGATTGCCTGGCTCCTAGTATTAACTAAATGCTCCTACAAAGACAGTGTAGAGCAAAAAGCCACTGGCTATATACACATCATGTCAAAATACCTCATTATTTTGCCTCATCTCACCAACATCAAATGACACCATAACACTACACTTCTCCCAAACTTCTAATATTCCCCTGGACAAAAGTTCATGAGGGTATCTTAAAGCTCCAGTTATGTCCCCTTATGGTGTCCCACTGAGTGAATATTCCATGTTTTCTTCTCTATAGCCAATGCTTACACCTGTATGCACAATTAACAGATGGAATTTTGAAGAAATAAAATTAAACTTGGGTTTTCAGGAAAATGGAGCTAAGGGTAAAACTGAAGAAAACTTCTGGGTAATAAACTCTCTAGTGCTAAAGGATTTTAGCAGTTGCAGTGAGTGAACAGAACTACTAGTTGAGATCAGAGTACTTGGCTATAGTCCTGTGTAAGCAATTTCCTATCAGGAGCCTATAGTGCAACCATTTTCCTTCAAACGTCTTTCTTGGGATTGTCACAAAAGAACCCACATCTTTCCTGAGGAAAGGGCAGCCAAAAGCAAACATTCTGCTGGGAAATATTTAACAGTCATCTCACAGAAGCGAGGGGTTGCATATATGAGTTTATAAAAAGGTGAGTGCACAACCTTCAAGTAATAAAACGTGTGAGAGAGAGAGAGAGAGAGAGAGAGAGAGAGAGAGAGAGAGAGAGAGAGACGTGCACTCATGCTCTGTGTAGATATTTATAGAGCCAGAAGATAACATCAGATCCACTGGAGCTGGAGTTGCATGTAGTTTTGAGGTGCCTACATAACATGGGTATTGGGAAGTGAACTTGTGTCCTCTGGAAGAGCAGCAAGAACTCTTAACCACTACAGCAGCTCTCCAGCCCCAACATATGCAGTACCCTTTATTCCAAATTCCAAAAAGATTATGGACTTTCATAGGATGACTTTGTTGATTTTCGCTAAGCTCTTGTGCCTGTAGCAATCCTATAATTTTCTGCTAATAAGCAAACTCCCCACATACACATCAGCAAATATTTTATTTACATTTAAGAGGATAATGAAAGAAAAGCTTCTGCTTGTAGTCTGAATTGTAGGATGCAAGAGAAAATTTTGTTCCTACAACAACCATGTGGGGAACTTTTTCACTAACTATGGTAACAGTTTTTGAACACAGGAAGATTATTTGCTTATTTTTGTACTAATCACAATGTAATCACCTTAGTCACATTTTAAGCTTAAGTTATATTAATTTTTTCTAACACTTTCTTAGGTGTAGACAAGAAACAACAGATTTGTAGTTTGTCAACCCTTCCACCAAGAACAATTCCAAACTGCCAAATGAGGAATGGGGAAGAAATTACAACAGCTTGCTATTACACCGCTTTTCTACTCTTAGCATACAAGGGATATGAATAACCTCAAGTGCATATTAAAAAGTCTAGTACATTAATAACAAAGGGATGCATATGTTTTATTAGTATTATCTTTGTTTCTGAAGTAATTTAGGTTATTTTATTTAATTTTTACTTATTTTTGCTTTATGTGTATGGATATTTTGCCTGCATGTATGTCTATACACCATGTGCGTGCCTAGTACCTTCAGAGGCCAGAAGAGGTAGCTGTGCCCCCTGAAACTGGAGTTACGATGATTGTGAGTCACCACATAGGTAGTGGGAATTGAACCCAGTTCTCTGGAAAAACAGCTGGTGCTCTTAACTGTCTCTCCAGCCCCTATTTAATTTTTAATAATGGCTTTATTTTTTAAAACCAGATCACAAAATTTCTAGAAATCTGCATACTACTAGAGGAAATTAAAACAATGATTTTCCTACTCAGTCACATGTTATTTAAATGTTCAACATTTAAGAGCAGAGTCTACCGATATTTATAATCAGCGGAACAAAAGATGAACCTACATATATAAGTGTTTCAATCCCCTATCCTATATCAGTAAGAGGACACAGTCAGTAAAAGAAAATAAGAGCCTAACCCTCTTCAGATACACGAAGGACATGAGAGCATCTGAAGGTAGAAGCCCACCAGTGCTTACCGATGGTACCACCCATAGCCATTACTCCGGACATCTGAGCTAACAGTTGTGGATCTGGTTTCAGGCCTCCAAGTGTGGCTGCCAGGCCTCCTGCAACTCCAATCATGCCCAAGGCATTGCCGAGTCGAGCTGTTCCCTGAGTGGAAAGGCCGCCCAGAGCACCTACACAGCACAAGCCTGAACCCAAGTACATGATCTTTGCAAAGGAAAGAAGAGAAAAGAGATTATTAAAAACTTCAGTCTGTCGGCTCACAGAAGACTTCTCCTGTGGAACACGATTCTCCAAGGACAATTTAAAGTCAGACAGTCAACAGACAGACCTTCAGCTCTTCGGCTAACATTTCAAACCATTTTCCTATCTATTAGGAATATAAATATATCACATACTTTAAATTGTACATATAGTTATGCCATTTATAGGAGTTGGTTTCTTTCTGGATTTGATAATGTACACAAATACATAAAAGTACTTAAACTTAAATGGGGTTATTGTCAGATTGTAAAACACTAAACGTGTCCAAATGCTATAAAATAGCCAATCCATGTCACTGGTAGCATGAATTGTGCCTTAATTACACCGTAACAGTCGCATGACAGCCACGAGAAGAAAGAACCGTTATCCTCACTTTCTAAAAGGGAGAAGTGAAGCTTCCAGGGATTACAGGACTTCTCCAAAGATCAGGAAGCTGCACATCTGGAGTTCAGACTTGCGTCTCTCAACTCCCTGCTTTATCCCTGTTCAACACAAGATCATGCCAGTGATTTTCCTGCTGTCAGAGAAGCTGTGATCTGGTGGTGCTCGCTGGGAAGAGCTGTAAACTAGGGAAACGCACAGCAAAGCCTCCGTTTGTTTTCTGTTTCACCTAGGAGCTTTCGGAGCTCACAGCTGATTATTTCTCTCTTATTCTATAACATAAAACTGTGTGTGCGTGCACGTGTGGGCATGTGTGTGCCTATGTGCACATGTGCACACGTGCATGCGTGTTCATTGTATACATAGGTCAAAGGATAATCCCATGTGTCCTTTCTGAGGTGCCACTCCACCTTGTTGGAAACAGGGTTTCTCACTCTCCTGGAGCTCTCTGGACAAGCTATCCCTCCAGGCATCGGCCTTTCTCCACCTCCCCGGTGCTAGGACTACAAGCATGTGCAGTACCACACCCAGGCTTGGTGTTTGTTTTTTGTTTTTTCCCCACACAGGTTTTGGCGATCAAACTCATGTCTTCATGCTCACGCAGCAAGCACTTTACCAACTGTGTCACCACCCCAGCTCATACAACTGTGGTTCTCAACCTACGGGTTGTGACCCCCTGGGATTGAGTGGGCCTTTCACAGGGGTCCCCTAACACCATCAAAACACACAGACAATTCATAGCAGTAGAAAAAGACAGTTATGAAGTAGCAATGACAATAATTTTATGGTTGGGGGTCACCACAACATGAGAAGCTGTACTAAAGGGTCACAAGGAAGGTTGAGAGCCACTGCCCTACAACATAAATATTTTAAATTCTATGTGGCTGGAGTGATGGCTGAGTGGTTAAAAGCACTGGCTGCTCTTATAGAGGACCTGGGTTCGATTCCCAGCACCCACACAGTGGCCTAAAACAGTCTGTAACTCTAATAACAGGGATCCAACCCCTTCTTCTGACTTCTTGGGGCACCAGAAATGCATGTACACAGACATGTATGCAAGTAAAATACCCATACACGTAAAATAATAATAAAAGGACAAAATGTGTCTTTAATTTTTTTTTCAAGACAGGGTTTTCTCTGTGTAGCTTTGTAGATCAGGCAGACCACAAACTCACAGAGATCCACCTGCCTTCTGCCTCCTGAGTGCTGGGATTAAAGGTGTGTGCCACCACCACCCGGCTGTCTTTAATTTTTTTTAATTACTATATTTTCATAAGTGTATTGCATAGTGTCTTTTGTTATAAACATTTTTGTTATAAAAATTGTGATATGTTTATGGAGGAGGAAAGCATAAACATTTTCAAGTTGACTACTGGTTACTTCACTGTACCCTCATAACAACCCAGGCAGGCACACAGGGAAAGCACAGTTTCTACACGTGAAAAACTTAAAACAAGCAGGCCACGTCAGCTCCTGGTCTGTTTGAACAGGACGTTTCCAGGTTATTACTGTATTTGCTGACAGAGCTTCATAGTCTTGATAGCTTGAATTCTGCAAGTGGCATTAAATGTTAAAGGAAGAAAGCCATGGTGGTAGAAACAAAATCTCCCCAAAGGTCTCTTACCTCTTCAATGTTATAACCACTGTAGAGGGCAGCCAGATATCCACCCACGAAAGTGCCACCAGGGAGCAGATACAGATAATTGTATTCTGGGGGATCTGTGGGTCGCTTAAACATGTCCAGCATTCTCTGAGTTACCAGAAAGCCACCTTATCGAGGCAAGAGAAACACAAACAGGTAGAGGAATCACACAGGACAACATGACCCTTTTTTGTGTGCTCCAATATACTAGGTATATCTTTATCACCAACCATCACAAAGTGACAACTATTATTTCAAGTAATATCTTTGACCCTCAAAAACAAAAGTCAATCTATTATTAAAGCCAGTCCCCTTAGGATGGAAGAAGCATGGGGAACCCTCACTACAGTTAAGAAGAAAACTTGCTATCAGAATGCAGGGCCAACTGTTTCTGCATGACTAATAGTAAATAGCCATTTAAAAGCTTGAAAATACAAAGGATCAAAAGTCAGTATTTTTCTCTGATGGGTTACTCTGTTTGCCAAACTCTATAAAAAAATGATAAAGGGAAAAACACTGCATCAACAGACACCAGGTTTCTTGGACACATTAAGGAATTTTTAGCTATAAACTAGCATCAAATGAGTGATGTGCTAACCTTTCAGTTTTCAGGAACAAACAAAGTGTGATAAGGCAAAAGACTAAAAGTTTATCTGCAGCTGTACTTATTCAGAGATGTCACGGTGATAGCAGAAGTCAACATAATTCAAGGCTATGCATTCCACAATTTTCCAGTTAGTTTCTAGCAAGACTCATTACGCGGTTGAAAGTATGGACGAATTGGTTCTTTATCAATACAGTTTCTAACCATTACAGATAGGCAAAATATTTGACTTTCCTTCAAAAGGAACGTTAGTGGTCTGAGAGAAGTCATTTGTAATGGTACAGTTAAATGCTTAAACTCAGAAAGTCTACTTTGCATGACTTGATATTTGCTTCCTATACCATCAAAACAGCAATCTGAGTGCTTTCTTCTTCCTCCTACCTGCAATGTTGACTGATGATATGAATGTAGCAAGAGCAGCAAGACTCTGTGGAGTTGTGGAAGGATAAAAATGGCCTCCCATCAATGCCAACCCCCCAACCGCAGTCAAACCTAGAAAGAAAACATCGATGTGATGAATAAGTCCAGTACCCGCTCCAAACTCAATGGGATAACTGAAATACCAAAACAAGACAGCCTTCTTACATCTCCATGAAAATGATAAGAGCAAGAACAATCTCCTGATCTAAACTGCTGACAACACACCTGTGCATCTTTCCTACTTGAAGTACTATTGCGAACAAAGGTTAGCAAGCCTTGCAATCTTTGGCATAAGAATATGACCTTCAGCTTCCTACCTGTGTTCTCATCAAGGTCAGTCAGCAATGTCACTAGAGCACTGCTTAGAGGGAAGTGTGACTGTGGATGGATACCTTGCAACCAAACTACTACAAGGAGCTAGTCATGATCTATGGGTATTGATCAGGTTGCTACCAATTTGAGCTTTTCCTGTATGCTGTACTTTTTGAAACTGGATGTGCTCCCTGTAGAAATCCTAGGAGCTATGCCTGAGACGTCCCAAGAGATAATTATGTGCTCAATCATGTTGGCTACTCAGATGGCTTCTATTCCCTCACATCTAAGCCGCTGATGGAGGTCAAAGAGAGGAGTCCCTAGCAGCTTCAAGTACTCTTCTGAAAACTCTCACCAAAGAAAGATGCCTGGTACCATTCCCTAGCAAGCTGGTTCCTTGTCCCTAACCAACATGGTTAATCCAAACCATACAAAGTCTACTATAGCCTTGTAGATTGAATGTTTAGTTGATTCTAAGAAGAGACCCTAGAGGGTGTTGCAACTGATTCTGTGAAACACACTTTGGTTTTTAAATTTCATCAATGGAATCCTTTCCTTAAATTATATGATAATTGGAAGAAATATTAATGGATCTACACTGTTTGAAATGGGAACACAGGACGGGCTAACATTCTATGGCATCCTACTTGACAAGCCCACTCACCCTTGGGAAACCCCAAGCCACTACAATAGCTGCAGTAGACTCCAGGAGTCAAGATTTGAAAACTGGAATTTATAAAGTTCATTGAAACTACTCGTAGAGCTGAGAAGCCTATGACAGACTAAAAGCAAAGAACAAAAGAAGCAAAGAACAAACCTGAGATCGCATTAGTCACAGACATCAATGGTGAGTGGAGAGCAGGGGTCACTCCCCATACAGTGTGGTAACCAATAATGCCCGCCAAGCCAAAAGTGGTCACCATCTGAGAAAAGGCTAGATTGGGGGCCACAATGCCCAAACCCAGCATCCCAGTGAGACCTAGAGGAAGAGAGAGAAAGTGAGATTGCCTGCAATGACCATGGTAAAATAAAAGTACATGTACACACACACACACACACACACACACACACACACTATAGAATAGTCAGTGTCTTAAATTCTGTCCCCCTTTCCAATAACCAGCAAGTTATTAAGACATTTGACCATTAAGATGCAAGGGAGATTATGGATGAAAATCTACCTTACCTGACCACTCCCCCAAAATGAAATACAAAGCTCTAGTAATATTTATGAGTCACCTTCATAACAATTTGCACATTTTCCTGTGCCTAACTTTGTCCTCTTCTCTGTTTTAATGTTGACTGACAGTGTCGCGTTTGTTTATACATGCATTTTCCATCCAAAAATGACAGGCCTACAGAAGAGCTACCAAGCACTTTCTGCTCAGGCAGGATATAACCTTTATGAGACAGGACTTTTATGAGGCCAATTTTATGTCACTCTGAGTTATGGCTGAGCAAGAGAGGTTTCCAAAGACTAGGAAGGATTTCATTCACTCCAGCGCCTCCCTGAAACATATGGCCTCCACCCACCCAGGACAGAAATTTTGCAATTGCTCCTGAATCTGGACTGAACTGCTAGCCAGGGCAGTCAGCTCCAACCTCAACACCAAGTCAGCAAACAGTTTTACAAAGAAAAGAAGGGGGAAAAAACCTACAAATTAAATTAAGAATGCGCAGAATACAAACAGTCAGTCCTGAACATACATCTTTAATTATCGCCTTCCTTAATAACAAACATGTGGATGGTTGCTCTGCAACAGAAGAAAGGGTTACCAAGTGGTCAGCGAAAACAGAGACACTGAGCTGTGCGGGAGCTGGAAGGACCCTTTCCTGAATGAGGGGTCTTGATTTCTCAGCAAGAGCTACTGCTTTATCAGTGACGGGGCTGAAGGAACAGCTCTAAGTGGGCATTCACTTTGCTTTAAGTTGACGATTCTTGATGTAAATTTCTCTACTCACATTCTGAATCTCAAAAGTTCTAACACATGGCTTGTAAAATCTCTGGAGAGTCAGATAAATATTTTGGCTTTCCAGTTACTGATAAGACACTCTATATAGGGTTAGGATTAGTCATGTTTTCTTAAGTCAGATTGCCTAATTCAAATCCTCGCACTGCTGCTTGCTAATGACTGATCTGAGACATGTTATCTACCTCTCTCTGTTTCAATGTCCTCATCCATAATATTATTAACCCTCCATTGTCTTCCTCTCAAAAAAAAAAAAAAGAATATGATAACGGTCCACATCACTGAGTTGCTATAAGGCATAAATGAGCTAAGGTATAGGAAGTACATAGCACAATGACTGGTACTCATTAAATGCTAGCCATGATTCCCATCACATTAGTCGGAAATTGCTAATTCAGCAATACCCACAGTGTCTCGCAATGGGCAAGGACACAAACAACACCACATATAGGAAGGTTTTCTTATCAAGTTTTTAATTATCCAGCATAATGCCTTGCCTCAATAAACATGACAGAAACCTGGAAAAATAAATCATCACATATGCCCTGCTCCATTTTCTTCTGCACCTCAAAGAGAACTGGGAATTCACAGTCCTGCTTAGAAAACACCCCACCAGCAATGCAACCATCGCACTTCCTTTTGTTTTTTAACAAGTGAGTGCAAGCAGGGACACTACCCCGTCTCCTCACGATGTGTACCCAGCAGAAGCTTTCCAGTTGTTTTGCTGAGCCTTGCTCTTTATTCAAGGGGAGTTACACATTTAGCTTTAAGGCATCTGGGCTCACATGGGAATTCGGGGAATGCTGAGCCTACAAGAATCCTGTGTGCCTGCTGCTGCTCCCTTAATTCGTTATAGTTTGCTTGCATTTTGTTTTTGCTTTGACACTAAGCAGATCTAAACATGCTTCATTCCTTCCACCAGGAAGAAAGCAATTTCCAATCAAATACCCATATTTTAGCCCCTCACAATGCATAGAGCTAGAAAGAATATGTCTCAGTGTTTTATAGTAATTCTTTAGTGATTTCAAAAGAATGACTCTTAAAAAAAAAACTCATGATCATATTAAATGTTAAAGCTTCTTAGTAGGTAACTTAGTATGTTAGTCTAATATTCAAGGTTACCCCTTGCCTCATATTATTTATAATTCCAACAAGCATTTGGTTTCCCAGTCTTACCCAATTATACAGATAGCCCCAACTAGTGTTTTACAAAGCACAAAAGGATGTTGAATACATTTACATACGTTCAACATCAGCACACTCAGATACCATTACTCAACAGTTTATATAGGCAATATTGATGACTATTATTGAAGATGTTTTCTGTAAAATGTATTAATACCCTATGTTATTTCACATCCCTTCACTCCAGTATTTAACACAGTGCCTGTGTTATTTTGGGTAATCAATGCAATCTCCAAGTCCACAGAGGAGGAACAGGAAAAACACAGTAAAGTCAGACCTCTCAGGCCCAGTATAATAGGATCCAAAGAACAGCAACAGTATTCTATTAACTAATCATGAAAATTAACATACTACATACAAAACTCAGTTAGTACTAGGCCTTAATAAATGTTAGCCTCCAAAGGAGTGTAGACCATGCTGAGGAAACCCACAAAACAGTTGACCTAAGCAAGTGGGAGCTTACAGACCCCAGTCTGACAGCTGTGGAGCCAGCATAGGACCAAACCAGGCCCCCTGAACATGGGTGTCAGTTGGGGGGGGCATGAGTAGTCTATGGGGCCATCCCTAGTGCATGAACTAGCTTTTTGGAGCCCATTCCCTATGGAGGAACACTCTCTCAGTCTAGATACACGGGAGGGGGGAGAAGGCTAGGCTCTGCCCCAAATGATGTGACCGACTTTGATGATCCCCATGGGAGGTCTCACTCTCCCTGAGGAGCAGATGGGGGATGGGATGGGGGATGAGTGGGGGGAGGGGAGGACAGGAGGGAGATGGAACTGACATTGGTATGTGAAATAAGATTGTTTTTAATTTAAATAAAAAAGGGAAAAAAGAAAAATCAATGCTATGCTCACCTGATGCATACATGGATGCTGTGGTCAGTGTCTTCGTGTACTGTGACACAGTGCCTGCTTTCTCTGCGTCCAGTTCAGCCACTGTCTTCTGTTTCACTGGCGCTTCTGCAGGGATATTTTTTGGTGTGGGAGCTGGGAAAATCACATTGCCATCCTAACAAATATTAGAAAATAATATTTTCAAAGTCAAAATTACTTACAAAGATGGCTTATGCTGAAAAAAAACTTTTGTGTAAATATAATTTAATGTAAATTAATGTATATGTGCAATAATGTGTATATTTAATTTTAATGTAAATTCATATAATTTACAAAATGGGTATGTAAGGTATAGTGATAGTGTTATACATATATAATTTTTATATCTCTGGGGCACATAAAAAAGAATTATGATCAAACCCTGCAAAGTAAGTACATGAGAGAATAACTCATTTTCACTCTATTAAATGTGTTTCTGGTTTTCAAAAGGGATGTATATTTTCAGTGCTCATACATACTCAAGTCTTTGAAATGCCTTCCCTAAATTATTCTCTATTTTTAAACAATTCTCACTGATGTGCCAATGCTTTACTATAATATATCTCTATTCTAAAATGGGGTTCCTAAACCCAAGTTACATTAAAAACACAGGAGGAGGGGAACGTCCTACCTTCATCACCACAGTTCCTCGAATGACATGACTCATTGTACCAAAGTCAAAATCATCCTTCACTTCAAAATAAAAGTTATCTTTGTCAGGGCTGATGGCCTTAAGGAGTTTGGTGATGTTGTTGGAGTACAGAGTGCTGGCCTGAGTGGCCATCCGGCTGGGAAGGTCCGTATAGCCAATATGAGTAATGCCCTAAATGAAAAAGCATATTGTCACAAAAGTCAGTCCCCTACCCTTACATCCTCTCTTGGACAATTCTCACTCACAGCTGAAGCTCGGTTTACAGAGTACATATCTTTGTAGATACATACATATATATTTACAAACACAAACATGCATTTCAAAGTGAGCTTTAATTATGTCTATTTTTTAAATCTTTCCCAGCTTTTTTTTTAACTTTCTGACTTCACTTTTTACAAACACTTAAGAGGAATAAACAACTCCCACAGAGGACTTGGGGTACAGCTTGTAGAAGAGTACTTCCCTAGCATGCATGAAGCCCTGGGTTTGAGCCCCAGCACTGTAAAAGGGAGGGGGGAAATAAACCCTTAATTCGGGACTGGGGCTAGGACCCAGGAAGCCTTGGGGGAAGGAGTATATAGTCAATACAATCCTAATACATTGTATTTGTATATTAGATTCCCAAAGAATTAGGAAAAATATCTTTTTAAACCTCACAAATCACTAGAATCGACAGGCAGAAAACGATTTCTTGGTATACCTTGTGGACATAAAGTTCTCCGGGCTTAGTGGTCTCAAAATTCCCGCCAGCCTCAGCAGCTAAATCCACAACAACTGAACCTTCCTTCATTGATTCAATCATTTCCTTACTAAATAAAACGGGAGCTTTTTTACCTGATGAAATCAAAGAAAACGGCACAAATTAGGATATGCTTCTCACTGCTTCAGTACGCTGTGTGTTCAAGGCTTGGTTATATGAAAAGTCCATTCTTTACAGGATACACGTAAGACTAGAGCATGAACGAGACCAGCCATCCACTTCCGGCAAACATGTACGTGAGGGCTGCAGAGAGGGCACTATTCAGTTGGCAAGCAAGCCTGGCCGAATGCTTGGCCTGAGTCATCCCAGCCATGCTCTTCCCAGCTGGCTTACATCTAGGGCCCATTTACTGAGAGGTTTTACTTGTTTAAAAAGAATACGTAAAATAAGCCATTATGGAAACCATGTCCACCCAAGCTGAACAATTCGAAAAAGGTCATACATGTCAAGAGTACATTCAGTACTAATTTATGAATTACAAAATAGGATATTTCCATTCCTTTTAGAAAATGTCACCAGATTTTCCAAATCATTACGCACCTTAATTTAACCCAGGATAGCAACTAGAAGAGACCAGAAAGGGCCATGAAATAAACACTGTAGCATTGCAGGGCTCCAAGTAGTTGGGAAGCCCGCCGGTATTTCCATTCCCAACTGCTGGTGCTCTGCCTGCCAAGCCAGGCCTCTCTGTACCTGGTGCTGGGAGGGCAGAGAGGTAAGCAGCAGCAGTCCCTGTTCTCGAGGGACACGTTCTGCTCATGCGCTATTTCACAGTTTAAATTAAAGGTGTTTTAGGAGGCTCACTAATTCCTATATGAGATAAATTCCCAACAAATACCTGAGCCAAAAGAGAAAGGAAATGTTTTTGCAAGATCGGTAGACTTTTAAAAGCTGGGCACCAATAGCTTCGTCTCTATCCCTCCTCATTTTCAATTTTACACTTACCGGCTTTTTGTAAACATGCCGTCTGTTTCATATACTGATGTCAATTATACATTACATTTACATTAAAATCATCTCCCATTAAAATTATCAAACCACTTGACTGAGATTCATATGATTCCAAAAGGAAAAAATAATATTTAGTTGTAATACACATGAAAACAATTATAAAGATATGTGTGGGTGTTTGGTGTTACCTCAGTCTTTTTGGTACAAACTTCATAGAAGATAGAGTCCAAATCCTTGTTCCCGAAGGGTTTTCCCCCCTGGGTGCACAGTTCTTTCTAACATCCCCACTGGTTGCTTCCCTTCTGGGCCATCCAATTCAGCAACCCTGGACCAGCCATACCATAAGATCCCCTGATGACATGATTCTCCCTGCCGAGTCCCCCATTAATGAGCAAGAATCAAGAAGCATTTTCTCCCAGTCAACAGCCACCAAGTTCTAGTAGCTACAGTGTTTTTTTTTTTTAACTCCTTGGCAGTATTCCTACTCCCCTTCTCTTCCCAGGTAGTAAACAAAGGCACCTTGGATGTTTTTCTGAACCTTGAGAATCTGAGAAGGGAAACCATATATATCCAGAACTTTTCCCATAGAGAAACCCATACTTCTCAGTTCCCTGGAGATTGGTAACCGAATCAAGGTAGCTGAGTCCATACAAAGGCAAATCTAAGGTGCGAGCCTATACTTTTCAGATGTGTGCCGTCATCGCCACGCCACCGTTTTATGCAGAGCTGCTGCTTAAACTGGCCACATTCTTGCTGTAGCTTTTACTCCTACCTTATTTATGGCCCACAGGCCTAAATGCAGGATGGTCCCCTCTGGCTTCTGACTAACACACACTGTGGCTACTGATGCCACAAATCTTATTTGTTCTGCTACGGTAATGCTGGATTCTTTTTATGTTCGTCTATACCTGACAAAAAAAATTTAAGTGTAATTGTGTATGGGGGTAGACCCTTAAAGTGTCAAGGGTCTGAGGCCAGCTGTGGGAGTCAGTTCTCTCTTCCTATTGTATGAGTCCCAGGGATCAAACTCAGGTCATCAGATTTTGTGGCAAGTGCCCAACTCTCACCAACTCTGCTATGTGCTTTTGACTTGGAAGTATTTGTTTGTTTGCGTTCAGTTTGTTTTTTTTTAAGGGGGATTTGGGTTTGGGTTTGTTTTTTGTTTTTCCCTTTGGTGCTAGAGGCTGAATCCATGTCCTCAGGCAAACTAAACAATTGGTTGACCTCTGTAACTATATTTCTAACCCAAATTTCATCTTTTTGAAATATACCTCCATGGCTTATCTATAACTTCAGTTGCATTTGGGGGACAGAGGATGTGATTTGGGAGAAGGTCTCCTATAGCCCAGGCTGGTCTTAAAGGCACTATGTAGCTAGAGCTGGCCTTGAACCTCTGATCATACCACCTCTGCGGTACGAGTACTTGGGTTACGGGAATGTGTCACCATACCTGGCTAGATCAAATGGTTCTAGTGATACCCTATGCTCTTTACACTAAGTAAGTAGTCAATGTGAAGTAATATACTATTGTCTCAAAAAATGACTGAATTTCAGAACAATAGTAAAAAACAAACCATCTAAGTTATATCAAAACACCAAACTGGCAAAGGTATCTTTTGAAGGCTGTGTCAGCTATGGCCAAATTTAATATATAAAGGTTGAATAAATAAAATTAGAGAAGCTGGAGTCCAAAAGTTTAGGCCATGTGATGGCTTGCTCAATGGCAGTTTTCAAGTTCAGTCACTGGTCATACATAACAGAATATGCATGTTTAAAATACATATACCTACTTTATATGTGCATATGTAAGTTATCCATAGACTATATACCCTGTAATAAATTCTGTCATATAGCACTCACCAACATCAGAGTATATTTAAGTGGTAAGACTGTTTTCTTCTCTGTACTTTCGCTTATCTCCCAAATGCCCAAATGTCCTAACTTTGAAATTAAGAAATCTCAATAAGGGCTGGGGGGGGGGGCGGGAATTAACAATGAAGGACAGCAGCACAGCTGCCTGCAGGCACTCACATGTGGATTAGCATTTTTTAATTCTGGAAACTTCAAAACTAAAAATTAAAAACAGAAGGGGAAAGAATATAGCCAAAAAAGAAGCAGGAGAGTGAACAGTGTTCAAAATGAAAGATTCCCAAAAGAATAGTGGAGAGGGAGAAAACTGGGAAGGCGATTTCAGAATAGGATCTTCGTGTAAGAGTCTGTAGGATGAAAGTGCAACTGCATGATCCATCAAAACATAAAGAAAGACAGGGCGATGAATGGCTTAGGTAGGTGTGGGGGCAAATCTTCTATTCAAACTGAGCATCGTATTTTAACTACGGTCCAGGTAGGTTATAATTAATTGTAAGAGAACTGACCCAGGAAGAGAAAGAGGGAAGTAAAACACTTTAGAATCTTTCTCTAGTCTGTGGACTTAAAATGGGATTTCCTAAACTTAAAACAATAAGGAAAATTACAAAAGACAAAAGTAGGCTTAAATAATTCCAACTCTATGCACATCTGGATGCTTACACAAACACACACACACCAAAAAACAAAAACATTTTTTTCAGGTCAGACTGGTTCACATAGAGAACTCCAGGTCAGCAAGGCCAATAAAGTGAGATCCTGTCTCAGATAAATAAAATTTGGGGGAAAACAAAAGAAAGTAAATAAAAAATAATGTCATTCACGGAAATTAAAATAAAAAACAAAATACTAAGAGCTTAATAGAGAGTTAGAGAGATGGCTCAGTGCTTAAGAGCACATATTATTCTTGCAGAGGACCCGAGTTTGATTCCCAGCACCCACATCAGGCAGCTCACAACACCCGCTAACTCTAGTTCCAAAGGATCCAATGACCTCCTCCTACACAAACACACACAAAAATAAAAATAAGTGGAAAAATTTTTAAAGAAAATGGTTTTGAATCATTTCTAAAAAGATCTTAACATTAACTGACAATATAAACAAATGATCAATTTAAAAACAGTGACTAATTTTTAACAAATGTTTACCCCCAGGAAAATTATAGAAATATTAAGTATAAAAAGTGAGAAATTGTTTTGGCTTCTCAAAGTAAGAGCCTAAAACAATACAAGAATAGAGATGGGAAAGAGAACAGATGGTAGAGGGCATAGGGGTGGGTAATAAGGAGGTGAATATGATCAAAATACATTACATGCACATATAGAAATGCACAGTTTATATAAGCTAATAAATAGAAATTACTATACTCTATATTTAGATGAAACAATCGGACAATCTCTTAATGAGATTATGGACTACAAAATCTTAAGAAAGTCATTGGGTACATGTAAATTAGCAAAAAGCAATACCGGAACTCATTAGTTTTACCTTTTATTTTGGAGAAGTAAATGAAAATGCAGACATACGAATTATACAGAAAACGTTATCAGAGTATTGTGTCATCTCTCCAGCATCATATCTTACTTTTGTTTAGCAAAAGTAAAGTATTCCTGGATTATCACAGCCAGTTCTCATTTAAGAACTCGGTTTAATATTTATTACCGAAAATATTAGAATATCTTAGGGAGAAAAAAAATGGGCTGACCTATTTACTTACCCTACCAATCCAAAAAGTGTGCAGAGCTGTGCTTAGGACAACCTGACTGAAGAGGGTGGAGACAACTGTGTAACAGTGACCTCCAACACCCACTGCAAAACCTCTCAAATAGAAGGTAAAACAAAAGAAGGATAAAAGGCAAAATGAGAATTTCATGTTTCCTAAGATGTAAACGCAGAAGAAAGAGGTCTGGGGAGGGCGCTGGGGGGTTCTTGCTTTTCAAGGTACAGTTGGGCTTTCCCATCCTGAAGCCCAGGGTTAAAAATTTAGTCACTTCTCAGCCAGGTGGTGGTGGCATACGCCTTTAATCCCAGCACTCGGGAGGCAGAGGCAGGCGGATCTCTGTGAGTTCGAGGCCAGGCTGGACCGACAGCCTCCAAAACAATACAGAGAAACCCTGTCTCATAAAAAAAAAAAAAAAAAAAAAATTAGTCACTTCTCTAAAAAAGATAGGATTTACAAACAGGCCAGGATGGTTACATTTCCAAACACCACCCATCTAAAAGTTAATAAACAAATATTTTTAAAAAGTAACAAGGA